GAATTAATATTATTTACAAAGTTATCTTTTAATCAAAGTTATCATAATAGTTACATGCTCGCAAAAAAAGAAAACAAGCTTCAGCATGTTCAAACAGAATTAAAAAGAAACAATTTTGAAAGACAGTTTATAATATTCTTTATTCTTGTCTATGTATAAGTGGGCACCACCTCTCCCAAATAAGAATTCTTTCAATTGGGTTTCAAAACGATGCTCTGAATTTTTTTAGTACTATATATTTGTTCCTTCAACATTGCAGCGATTTTTTTAAAAATTAGGGGGAACTATACAGCATTTAATGATATCTATAAATAAATAAAAAAAAAAAATTGAAAACTAAAAAAATTTTTTTTTTGTAATTTATTTAAAAAATTACTGTTAAATTAAGAAATTAACGAAACAAGCTTTAGAACAGCAGCACAAAATGAAAGTGCTGTTATAAATAAAATTTATATTAAGAAAAAAAATAATAAATTTGCAATTTAGAAGAGAGACCAAAATACAGCAACATGCAATTTTGAATAGTAATAACAATGTGATTGTCTTACGCATATTTGCTTTATCTCTAGTCATAGCTTTCACAGCATCTTCATGAGTTGCAAATTCAACATCAGCTTCACCAGATGGACGGCCACTTCTGTCATTTCGCAAACGAACACTTATAGGTGATATATTTAATGGTCTAAAAAACTAAATACAAAATTTCAATTTTTAAACCAATAACAGATATAATTTTTGATTAAATACGTAAAATGCTTGTTTAAATTATTGTACCAATTACGCACATCATAAATATCTTGCTCAATAGCTCTAAAAGGTAAGCCTCTCATGTGCACACAATGGCCAGTTCCTCCAAAGGCTCTTCCACCAACAGGACCGAAACCTCCACCAAAACGACCATTCATGGGACTATTCATACGACCTCCATAGCCATCTATATTTAAAAAATATATATAAATGTGTGTACTTAAAACAACAATTATGTATTGAATAAACATTATCTGAACAAAAGGATTATGTTTTAGTTAAAAAAAATGTTTTTATTGATATCAACTATTATTGGGTAAAACGGTCATCTAACATATAAAAAAAAT